TTGAAAGGAAAGAGCTCCCAAGAAGAAATGGATGCAAATGAGTTAGCCTTGGTGTCCGACTTGGTTCTCCCGCCTAAATTCAAAATGCCTAATTTTGAACAATACGATGAAACTAGTTGTCCTTCTTCTCATATCACGATGTTTATTCGAATGATGTTTGGATACACTAACAATGATCAAATGTTAATATATTATTTTTAAGACAGTTTGGTCAAATCCACTTCTAAGTGGTACAATCACCTAAAATGCACTTAGATTCTCTCCTGGAAGGATCTAACCTATGCATTTTTGGGTAAATACAGGCACATAACTGATATGGCCCCTGAACGAACAACGTTACAAAATATAGAGATGAAGTGTAATGAGAGCTTCCAATAATATGCACAACGATGGGAGGGATATTGTTTCTCAAGTGCATCCACCAATAATCGAAAAGGAGTTCATCACCATGTTCATCGACACATTAAAGCCTCCATACACTAACTATGTATCAGGGGTGGCCGCTTAGAATTTATTTGACATCATCACATATGGAGAAATGATTGAAAGCGATGTTAGAAAGGGCAAGATATGGCACCAACAGTGCTGTCACTGAGGAAGAAAATGAAGTCAATATGGTGGGATCCTATTCAGCTAGTCACATGGCCAAGTATCATAGGATGGTCCAAGAAAAGACTAAATATGATCCAATTCCAATGAACTATGAGGAATTACTTGCAACACTGGTTGAGAGGACCTGATGACTCTAGTCCAATCCAAGACAAAAGTACTGTCATACCCTGAAGGTTATGATGTTAAAACCACATGTAGCTATCACATAGGAAGCTCGGGGCACACTACTGAGAATTGTGGAGCACTAAAGCGTAAGGTCCAAAAGTTGATCGATTCAGGGGCATGGACATTCGATGAGTAATGAGGTATTCTAATGCGAATCAAGAGAAGTCATTGCATCCACCATGAAGCTTTGTTGAACTTGCATGAGAAAAGCATATCATATTATTTTGAACTTGTTTTTTCTTTCTTTATCTATTTTAAAGGTTTATAAGTCCCTTGACATTCGAACTTATTAAATAAAATAGTACCTTCTAAGGTTGTGAACAATGGAACATGTTTTAATCTTGTAGTTCTTTGAATATCTAATGAATTTAGATTCTTTTAATTCTTCAAGAATTATAAATTTTTGACATGTGGCAAGATTATACGTTTCTTGTTCCGTCTGAATCCAAAATATGATCACTCAATTCTTTACCGAAAATAAACAATGGTCATTACCAAAGGGCTGAATTTTGACATTACATCTCTTTGAGACCTCAAAATACCACCTTTATTCTTTTTAAAGGCACTAAATTCATACTATTACCTTTTTCAGGCAGAGTCAATATTGTCATGACCTTACCTTTTCTTGAAAATATGACTTCCAAGACATATCGTCGCCTTCTTAGAAAAAAAACTGACATTTTTCTACCAATGAAACCTGAAAGCATTGAGTACAAGATGTTCATTTTTCCATGAACCTTCCTACAAGAAGAAACGAGGTAGGCATCTTGGATCAAGTTTCTGAAGATAAGCCCGAATAAATTGGGGCATGTTTGAAGCAAGAAGAAGAAAAAATAGATTGTTTGAAATAATTTTATCATGCATTAATTACATTGTTTTCATGTAAATAAAAGTTAATCATGTATATCTATCCTCCTTAGGATACCTCTTCTGCAAGGACTTCCTTGTATGAAATGATGAATGACTTTCTTTCAATATCCCTTCACAAAAGGAGAAAATATATATCCATTATTTGGGCCTGAATTATTTTTCTTCTGATTCAACCCTAACCAATGATCACTTTCCACATTAGGGGGTAAAGTAATGGACATCTGCTCACATGAGTGAAAAACATCAATTAATGTTTTATTACAAGGAAAAGTCCTTGTGAACTAAAGTGAGAAATAATAAGGTACCTCGAGGTGGATCAAATACAATGCATTCGAAGTCCAAATTCATTTGAGAACAATGAAAGAAGTTCCAAATGCAAGAAATAAAGAGGATGAGAAGGTGCTCAAGTCAATTCAAGTCTTAAACTCATCAAATAAAGAGGACAAGAAGCACATGCAAAGAGTCCCTCGAGTCAAATTTCTCATCGAGCCTCAAACCACAAGATTGATCAAGTACAATTGGACCAAAGAACCAGAATAAATTCATACGAAGATCATATAACACCAAAGGAAAACAAAATAAAATAAAAGACACATTGCAAGCAGATTCAAATATAACAAGGCAAGAAGGAAGGCATTCGAATAAATTGATCCTTGGTTCAATCACCCTTAAACACTTGTTTGGGCCTATTTATCTCTTTATTTCATAACCATGAACCATCGTCTATATTACGTGCCTAAAAAGTCCATTCTAATCATACATGAATTTCTAAACAAAAGAGACTATCTCTAGAACTCATTTCATCTCTGAGGATTACTCTTTATTTTGCAAAATGTTTTCTAACATCTTTAATGCATGATAAGGAAAAATAACAAGGGGTTCAAGGCATAAAATTATGAATAACGTATTGAAACCAAAGGAGGATTTGAGTTGAAAACTTGAAAGGGCGGCTCGAATATACAAATTGTGCAGTTGTTGCATAGGATGTGATCTTACAAATCTCTTGATAAGGTATCGCGCAACCCAAATGCGCTCACGAGAGCTAAGAACCGGAGAGCACTTCCAGAAAATGAGCATAGAAACTGCTTCATCAAATCAATGAACGCCATAGAAGCAATTTACCAAATAAGCCAACCCGAGACACCTTATTTTTCAGAATATACCTTACCTCAAAATTAGCATTAATCTTGACACTTGTCAAATAGCTATAATTTTTGAAGAATTAAAAGAGTAGTTGATTCTTTGATATCCAATGAACTCTTGTTTTATAATTTATCTCAATTGTAAACCTAAAGTAAGGGGGTAACATTTTTTCAAAATTCACAATCAAACACTTTTCAAATTTCTTTCATCAAACATTTTTTTCAAAGCTTCATAAAAAATTCAAAACTTCTTTATCAAACATTTTTCAAAACTTCTTCATTCAAAATTTGAAAATAAAAGAGGAAGAAAAACATTTTCAAACAAGACAACTCACTAGAGTAGATCTTGGAAATTAGAAAGTGTATCTCATATACGAAAACTTAGAATAAGAAGTGGGGCAAGAAGAACAACTTGAACAAGGTCAATGGTACACTCTGGTGTACAAAAGAATGTAGACAATCAAACCTTTAAAAATGAATTTCTAGTAAAATGCATACCCTTTTTATATTAAAATAATTTTTCTTAAAATTGTTTTAAAAGACATTTTTAGATATTCGATCTACCTAACCCAAAGGTCGATGGCAACTCTAAATTCATATTAAATCAAATTTCATAAAAAATCCAAAATTTCCCAAAATAAAATCATAATTATATTTTAAATCCGATTCCGTTATAGCATGGAGATTAATAGGTAGTTTCATTATTATTATTATTTCTTCTTTTATTTTTGTGAATAACTTGGATGATTCTGTGACATTGGAGGAATGATATTAATGCTCTTTCATTTGCTTGAGTCGCGCCTCACTGCCCCAAGATGACTTAAAGCACCTCTGATTCTTCGAAACCAAGGAAACTCCTAAAGACATAGAGAATATCGAAGAAGCACCTGAAATATATGATATTTATCGAAAATTCGTCACTAGCTAACAAGGCGGAACTTGAAGTTTATTATAGAGGGGTTAAAATATTGTTTATTTTCCATAAATACAATTTTTAATTGAAGGGGTTTGTAAATTTTTCTTTATTTATTTTTTAAAATTATATTTTTTATATACTAATTAATGATTAAAAATATAATTGGCAGGGGCCAAGGCTTCGTTCAGCCTAGACTAGCTAATATGATTACCGACAGACTCATGTGATCTATCATAATCAAATCCATCACTATTTGATTGTAACTACTTGTCTACCAACCTACATGTAACTATATCCTACGACTGACACACACTAAAGTTTACTTTAAAATCTTTTTATCAAAACCCAAAAAAGATGAAACCTTAATGAAATCATTTTATCCTTATTATCTCCTACTTTGTTTCATAGTAACAGAACATTTTGATATACATTAAGTTTCATAAATTTAGGTTAATGAATTACATTCCCTTACCTGGTTCACTGAAAACTTATAAACGTAAAGCAAGTCTTCAAAACAGTTGGCAGTGGCACGTCTAATGTGTCTGTAGCACCTAAACTAAATGGCACATTGTTTGGAAACCCTAAAACCAAAACTAAACCAAAACTGTCAATGACTCCAACGTCTTCTGATGCAACTTAATTAATTGCAATAAAACGGTGATTTTTTTAATATAAATATGATTTGAATGAATTTGTTACTTAAATACTACGAATTCACGGGATAATAGTTAAAATAATGTCTTTAAAAAAGAAATTTCTCAAAATAGTCAATCTCGGTTATTATTTCTCATACTAAGATAATTGCTACAATTCCTTTAGGAGACTCCTATATTACATGGAGTTGAAGACTCCAAGATTACTATTTTTAACTTTGAGAAAGTTAAAGACTCCAGGATTACCTGGAGTCTTCAATTAAAGATTCCAAAATTACCATACATCTTTTCTTAATATTGTAGCAATAAACTTATATCAGGAAATATTATAGTAATAACCTTATTCATAAATTATTTTTTTCCGATGCTCTAGATGAGCAAGAAGCCACGAATTCACTCATCCGTAATTTCCCTTACTTTCAATGCAAACTAAAAATAATAAAGTTAGTGTAACTTCCAGAAGATAGGAAAAGACACCAATAGATCCAATTCAAAGTAAAAATTATATGAACAATAGGGATCTACCAATTGCTGAACATTACAGGAACTTCTTAAACTGCAAACATTTTGTACAAAGGAACAGCTGAACACCAAACCCTAAGAAAAAACCAAATGAAAAGAAGGAACACTAAATCCAAAATAAAGCAAAATAAATAAATAAAAAGATTTAAATCAAACCCCAGACCCTTTTTTTCTTTGAAAAAATACAAATGTTCCACATTTCTACAAGTTATGACCCCCCTTCAAGAATTGTAACTATATCCCAATCTCCACATTCCTGCAATTTGGTCCTCCTTCAGTTAAAAGTTCCTGAAACAAAAGAGAGATGAAATCTCGCAAGTAAAACAAAAGTTGTTATTTTTTTTCTTGTTTTCTTTCTTTTGGTTTATTTTCTCACCTCATGAACAAAAGCAGATCTTTTACTGTCACCCATTTTCTCCATATACCCTTCATTCTTGTCAACCTTTTTGAGACCCAGAAAACCCTTCCACCTAGTGGCGCCCTTAGGAGGAGTCAATGTTACATTATCATCATCGTCGTCGTCGTCCCCAGCAAGAAGCTCTTCTCTCAAAGTCCTTTGCATTTGATTGCTACAATCGTCTTTAAATGGCAACAGCTTACCCTTAAACAAAAGCTCATCAGCACTCATCATGGAATAGTTTGACACTGAGAATTCAAAGTCCGAGGACACAGGTGGAGCCTCTCTCGAGTTCTTTTCTTGCTTCATAATCTGCTGAGTCTCAACAAAATCATTTGAGAAAGAGATTCTTGAACTCATTGGGGGACAGTGATGATGATGACTTTTATGCTCGGAATTATACATGTCTAAGCATGCCATGAGCTTTCAAAACAACATGGAAAAGAAGGAAACCAGAATAAAATAAAATCTCTAAGGATCCTCTTAGACTAATACAACTTACCAGGTAGATGTCTGTATTTATATATAAGGAAGCAGGGATGTATGGTTTTCTTCTTATGAATTCATGCATGTTATGCCCATGATGTGATATTTTTTGTCATGACATGTTAATTGTCTCCCTCTCTTTCTTTTTTGTTTTTCTCCGACCAGAATTGGCATCCAATGATGACCAGTTTTGAATACAAAATCCAGCAAGTGTTATTTATTTATATATTTATTTTTACTGTTTTATTCTTGGACTGTACGAGGGTGAAGTTACTAGATGTTTTTACCGAAATATCACCCTTACCATCAATAATTACATTTCAGACGTTCTTACCCCTAATATTACCGATCTAGCACCCTTTCTGATAAGGTGATAATAAAGAGCGGATCGCCATCTGTGCCTTCAAGGGATTCTGTCTGAACTGGCACCATGTAAGGAAAGGTGCGTATCGTCATCTACTCCTTCGCGGGGTTCTGTCCGAGCTGGCACTACGTAAGGAAAGGTACTGATGGTGATCCGCTTCTTCGCGAGGTTTTTGACATGTACGGAAGGATCTGCGCCTTTCCTTCAATACCCCAACCGTCCGCCTCCCACATTTATGGGAGCCCGTTTCCCCTCCCCTTTTCCTATAAATACCACACCCAAACACAACCTCCAAACCACACTAAAATCTCAAATTCTCTCATTCTTCCGAGCATCAATTTTTCTATTAATAAGGTAAAATATTTTTATTGTATTATAATTAATCAATAATTTATTATTTAATTCAATTTTATTATACTAATTTTTTATTACTTTTTGTAGTTATAAAATGGAAGGCGGTTTGTTACGTTTAGATGAGAATCATATCTCGAGGCATTTTGCCGATACGATAACAATTTTAAATTCTGTTGTAATTTTAATTATTGTGAATGATTTATTTATTTAATTTTTAGTATTATTTTATATTTTAATTTGTATAATATTTATTAAATTAGGAGAGAGACTGTATATTAGATCCATTAATTCGCAACCTTAAGTTAGAGATGCCTACTCGTGTATGGTTGTATTTAGTCGAGGTTGGATTCGCTTACGTAATGAACTATGAAGGGCACTGTAACCTTGAATCCAACTTTATTTCTACATTGGTTGAAATGTGGAGGCCAGAGACACACACATTCCATCTTTCATGTGGAGAGTGCATAATTACGCTGGAGGATGTTTCCATACATTTTGGGCTTCTGGTAGATAGGGATGTGATTTCTGGGGTGGCGGATGGTGACTGGCATTCCTTGTGCGAGGAGTATCTTGGAGGTGTCCATCCTAATTTCAATGGTGGTCGAATACCGTTAAATTGGTTAGATACAACTTAACATTTGAGTCGTGTCGCCTCCGAGGAGCAGGTTAAAATGTATGCACGAACTTGCATATTACAACAAATAGGAGGGATCCTAATGCTCGACAAATCGCGCAACCAAGTTCATTGTATGTGGTTGAGTCACCTTGTAGATTTTCATCATGTTGGCACACTCAGTTAGGGTTTGACATTTTTGGCATTTTGTATAGGGAAATGTGTCGAGCTACTGACTATCAAAAAAATGCTATCAGCGGATGTCTCATTCTTTTCCAGTCTTGGGCGTGGTATCACATGCCCTTTTTATGTCCGGTGGTGAAACACTCGTTGGTTTTTCCGCTATTATTGAGGTAATTTCAATACTGATTTTGTATATAAATAATTTTTCTAAGTATATAATGAAAATTATTTCATTGAGTAGGTGGTCAAGTGCAAGAAAAGATCATCAGAATTTATCTGATGAATTGGAACCAATTAGGTTACTCATTGATCAGAAGGCTCGTACAGAGGTATGTATTTAAATATTATTATCTACTTTTAATTATCGTTATATAATTAGAATATTATTTTGATAAGAATTATATATAATTGTTTTAGTTTCAAATGGCTCCTTATTCTATTGAAGAAATGAGGATTTGCATCCCACATCACTTGAGAGCCCATTAGATGTTTGGATGGCGGTGGTCCCTCTGATATGTTATGCTATTATCGAGTGACATCCTACTAATCATGTGCTCTGCTAATTTAGTTTTGTACAATCTATTCCGAAAGCACCTAAGAATCTTGATGATATGCATATCATCGATGGAAGGGGCTAAAAAGAAGTTGATTGGCTGGTGAAGCACATTAGGTGGGTAATGTTATGGGAGGATCGACGTGGGTGCATTCCCCATATGAAACCCATTTATGTTGACTGTCGTAACCGTTTTTTGTTCGGGCACGATTTTTTTTATACTTGGCGGGAAAAATAATGTGAATAATAAATAATTTGGGAGTCTCCATCGGCCTTTTGGGTCAGGTAGGTCGAATACCTAAAATTTATCTTTTAAAAGAGTTTTTAAGAAAACATCAGTTAAAAGATGAACTGATTTGCGTTTATAACCAAAAATTCGTTCTTTTTATTAATAAAAAGGGATTCGTGGTCGGTTACGTTTAGGGAAGGATTAGCACCCCTACAACGCCCAAAATTTGTACTTTTTAATTATAAATTGTCTCTAATAATAGAATTTAAGAATTCAAATATATTTAATTTATAATTATGTTATTTCAAATTTTATTACTATAATTTTTAAGAAAATATATTAATTTAAATATATTTATAAAAATATTTATTTATTTAGAAATATCAGAAAAGGACTTTTAGGTGCCTTAAGACAACTCTTTTTCTTCGATATTAAAAAATAAATAAATGACTAAAACATTTTCTTAAGATAATAAAAATTTATTTTAATATAGTAAGATATTTATTTATTCAAAAATATCAGAAAAGGGCTTCTAGGTACCTTAAGACAGCTCTTTTCTTCAATATTAATAAATAAAAATAAATATTAAAATTTAAATAATTTAAATAAAACTAAATTATAATTTTTATAATATTTAATTATTTAAAATACCAGAATAGGACATCAGTTGTATTAAGACTGCCATTTTCTTTGATATTGAAAATAAATAAACATTATTATTTAAAATATATATATATATATATTTATGTGACTAATATGAAAATAATAATATAAAATTAAAAAAATAATATTATAAAAAATAATATTTAAAATAAATTTAAAAGCAATAATATTAAATTGCAAAATATATAAAAACAATCAGGATCAAAGTGAAAAGAAACAAAATATTGGTGACTAAAAAAGTAAAATATCAAAATTAAAGGGCATAATTCGAATTAATAAAAAACTTAGTGCTAATAATGTAATTTAACCTTATTTAATTAATTCGGGTTAAAAAATAAATTATAAAAATTATGAAGGACTAAATAAGGCATTTAACCTAAATATATGTATAATGCAGGTAAGGACTAAAACATAATAAAATAAAATTCGAAGACTGAATTAGAACGTTCAGAAGTTAATTTCAATGACTAAAATGAATAATTACAAAACTCGAATGGCTGCGAAAAGGGTTTGGCCATGCGTGAAATTACACAGGTACCCTTCATCAAAACAGCGTCATTTTGATGAGGGTATTAATACCCAAACGACTGGCCTCCCTTGGGCTATTGTTTCATTTGTCTGGTTTTGCTTCTCTATCTAAAGAGAGAGAAGCTCTCAATTTCCTTCACCGGAGAAGAAAACCGGTCTCCGTTTCCGGTGACGATCGCCGCCGCCGGCCGCCGTCTCCGGTGGCCGGAGATTACCAAACTACACCAAATTAAAGATCTCAACTCCTAAAGGCCAAATCCAGCCTTCTTTTACCCTAAATCCCCTTAGATCGACCTAGATCTAAGTTTTTTAACCTTCGGCTTTCGGCTTTCCGATGACGCAAGGAGGCTCCGATGACTATGGTTTCCTCTGTAAGTTTCTATATTCTCTCTTCTTTTGGTTTCTGTTGTCTACTGGTTGTTGTGGTTTTTCTCTGTATCTCTCTTTTTTTGCTACTGCTCGCCTTCTTTTCTGTTTATGTCTGTGTTTTCCCTTCTGTTTTCGTGGCTGTCTCTTCTCTTTCGCAGGTGGTCGATGGCTTTATAGCCATCATCAAGACGCTCATCGGACCGGTTAAAGGAAAGGAGTTCGGTGAGTCACCGAGCTATGTGGTGACTCACCATAGAGCTCGACATGTGGAGGGGCAGCTAGCTTCTGGAGGCTTCTGGCGAGGCGACAATTTCGTGGCGTGGCACTGGCAGTTGGAACATCTGGAAGCAGCGGCGGCTGAATGATAACCTAGGGTTATGAAACCCTAGGGCTTCACGCTGGTATCCTGTGGACCGTTAGATCTTTCAGATCCAACGGTTGATAGAAGCGGCGGCTGGGTGTATGGGATGTAAACCCTAAAAGGGTTCAGGGTTACTGTTGGGCCAACTCTGTTGAGCCTGATTGATTGGGCTTGGATTGTTTGTATTTGGGATTTGTAATATTTAATAAATAATAAATAATAATAATAATAATAATAATAATAATTTTAATAATAATAAATTTAAATTTAAAATGAAAAAATTGATGTCTACAGCTGCCCCTCTTTGCTTATCCTTGTGTTAACAAGGATAGAGCAAAGACGAAAAAGACAATAATTTTTTCATTTGGATTCTTTTGAGCAGGATGGAAATGTTTGAAAACATCATTCACTGAAGGATTTACAGATGACCCTAAGGCTTTGAAAACATCAAAAAGCTCCCGAAGGCTTTTTGGAAACATAATACACTGCAGGACTTACAGATGACCCTAAGGCTTTGAAAACATCAAAAAGCTCCCGAAGGCTTTTTGGAAACATCATGCACTGTAGGACTTACAGATGACCCGAAGGTTTGAAAACATCAAAAAGCTCCCGAAGGCTTTTTGGAAACATCATGCACTATAGGACTTACAGATGACCCTAAGGCTTTGAAAACATCAAAAAGCTCCCGAAGGCTTTTTGGAAACATCATGCACTGTAGGACTTACAGATGACCCTAAGGCTTTGAAAACATCAAAAAGC